AGCCCAGGCACCAGGGAAAGTACTGAGCCTGAGAAGAGCTCTGGGAAAGGTATGTGAATAAAATGAATGTTCATGTTTTTGGCAACTGTATGAAGGAAATGAAACTCTATTTGAAAGTGGGTAGGTTAATAAATTACCATTAATAACCATCAGTATTGGCAGTATTACAAGTGGTCATAGTCACTTGAAGTCTCTTGAGAATGCCCAATATGCCTTGAGCTTCCTATCAAATGTTTAATACTAACTTCCTTGTCAATTTTGTATTTGGCTTTTCTGTGTGTGTGTGTGTGTGTGTATGTATGTATGTGTTTCTACAATTCCCAATACACAATGTAACTTTACCTGATGTATCTATCTGTATATATTTTGGGGTGAAGTCTGCCATCTCTGATTGCTGTGTTAATCTGTCCTTCCTAGTGAGTGACCCTAATGACACGGATGTCACAGAGCTACACAGAGTGGGCACTATTTGGAGAAAGGCTGGAGGCCGTGCCTACTTCTCCTGTGTTGCAGTTGGCTCCAATGGAGACATCTATGCACTGGACATGCACAATTGGCTCATACAGGTGTGGTTCTGTATTCTTACAAGTGTTGACTATGAAAGGTTATCTCTGGTAAGGATTATTTACAAAAGATTTGGACAAACCAGCCGATATAACCCCCCTTCGGTGTAACACACCAGCTTCGTACACCAAATGACAATGCTTTCATCTCTTTTCTGATCTCTTTTAGTTGCAATAACAATGATGAAAAATTAAGAACTACATGTATTAAAAATAACGCGCATAAGATGATACTAACCACCTACTATTGAAGTAAACAACATTCTTCTGACAATGAAGAAGAACGATAATAAAGCTTGAGCCTCATGATTTCCTCATCACACCAGGTTTTCAATAAAGATTGGAAGCACTGTTTCACGTTCGGAGGCAGTGGCCAGGACCCTGGGCAGCTGGATAGTCCTGTTGAGCTGGCCACACCACCTGAAGCTCAGTACCTCGCCGTGAGAGAGAACAAGCCTCCCTGTGTGCAGATCTTCTCCGAAACGGGCCAGTTCATGTTCAAGTTCCGGCTGCAGGGTGTCCACCAGCCACGCTGCATGGTCATCGACAGGAAGGGGCGCTTCCTCGTGCAGGATGTTGGGACCAAAAACACCTTCCCTGGGGTGCTCATCTACAGTGCTGATGGCAAACTAGTCAGAAAGGTTGGTTTAAATCATATTTCCATAAAAAGACATAGAAGAAGCAAATAGGCCATTATAACTGGTTGAAAATAATGGTGTGTGTTGGATTTAATGTTTTTAAACAAATTTAACTAACTCTTTTTGCTAAGAGAAACATTAAGAAGAACAGAAAACCGAGAAGGGTGCAGAAAATTGGTTGTCAGATTGTTTGTGGAGCCCCAACAGTTGAATAATTAGACTGAGGGATAGATGAGATGAGACCCTAACTCTTTATAATGTTTTCTCATGACAGGTTCAGTGCACAGAGATCTCCCAGCTGTCTAACTACAAGTGCAGCTTGGCTGTAACCCTGCTGAACCAGATTCTGGTTTTGGACCACCGGGCCCACTGTGTCCAGATGTATTCTGAGCAGGGGCAACACATGCATACCATCCACCCGCAAGGCAGCCGCCTTAACATCGCAGGGATCATTGTCCAAGACCAGAACAAACTCATCCTACTCACCAGTGTTAAAGTCATGGACATGCACAGCCATGGTCTGGTAGTCATAGACATGGATGGCACCGTGTTGGAGAAGTACAGGTTCCCCGAGAAACAGATCATTGTTCGCGAGGCACTGACATGCGATGGCTGTCCTCTGGTTATCCTAAGGGGGAAACCAGATATCCTTGTGTACAGGTCAATCTACAGTAAGTCAGATCTTAAGGTGAATAAAGATGGCAACTGGTCTGTCTGAAGGAGAGTTAAATGGCAGAATTTTGTGCCATACAAGCTAGATTACAAGTAAGAATGTGTCACTGCGATTTTGTAACATATCATAATTCCATCCAGGAACAGATATGCTACAGAAAGTGTAGAGTGACAGTTTTTGAAAGTTTGCCTTCTTTGAGGATGAGATACATCTGATAATCATGTTAGGAAAGATTAATAGTATAATGATTGAGCCATGGTATGATGAAACAGAACATCGCCCTCTGGTTATTCTAAGGAGGAAACCAGATATCCACGTGTACAGGTCCATCTACAGCAAGTAGCTGATTTTTAGGCAAAGGCAGACCTTGTGGTGAACAAAGATGGCAACTGGTCTGTCTGAAGAAGAGTTAGATGGAAGAATTTTGTACCATACAAGATCACACTTAAGAACATGTCACTGTTTTTGTAACATATCACAATTCCATCCAGGAACTGTGCCAAAAGGAACAAAGTCAGAAACATTCCAGATACATTTTGAAATCACGATATGATGAGATATTTTTGTTGTTGTTGTTGTTGCCTGACACAGCAACTTAATATATGTGATTAACCCAAGGAGATACAAAATATATATTTATAAAGTTAGTTCATTGAAACTGGATTTTACAGTTTGTGAACTTTTTAAAAAAATATCTTTTGTTGTACAGAATGTTCTGTAGAAAGCTGAAACTTACATTCAAGTTCTTTTGTTTTTCTAGTCAATTTTCTGTTCCTGCCCAAGGTTTTGGCTGAATATTTAAAGCTTTTCTTTTATGTAACCCTTGACCCATTAAAAGATTGTAGAACTAATCTGACTTGAGCAGAGAGAGTAGGAAATATTAACACCTGTATACAGTAGCTAGTCTAACACTAGGTGCTTGCTATGTTTATTCTTCAGATATGGTTACGTCACACAAGTTCTCTTATTTAGCCTGTTACTATATCTTGCACAGATCTCTTGTTGATCTGGATAGAGATACGTTTTGCTCACTCGAAAAAGTTTCTACTTTTAATATATTATGATCTCACTTCTTATAACTATAGTCTCTTTGTTGTTGCCTCGTTCTGCCATTTTGTACACTCACATGTCCAATAAAGGACACATGTTGGTGCCAACTGTTGGTTGTACTTTGGTCAAATTATGTTTCATACATACACTAATCGATAATAGTCTATCTAGAACACATGTAACAGGATGATCATCTAAATTTGTTAAAACTTTTTGTGGTTTTACACAAAACTGGTTTATTTGGAAAGTTTTGCTATCAAATTTGGCTTTTATGGAGGAGCACAATAACGGTAAAATTTGAAAAACAAAACTTTCGAAAATAAATGCGTTTTGTGTAAAACCACAAGAACGTCAACAGTAAAATTTAGATCAGTCCAAGATGACTGTCATTTCAAACATGATATGATTGTACAGTTTGACAGATTGTATGAGATTTCCCTTGGTCTTTCTGTGTATGAGGTCTCTTAATTGAGGAAAAAAAAACAAAGCCACAGTAGGATTAGAAAAGCAAGCTTTATTGCCAAAGAATTATGAAAGAACTAATGCATAACTCACTTTGACAGAGGACATTTCACTAGACTACAGCACCTCCTATATACATGCATGGAATGTCCAAGTGCCGGCGTTACATGTCTAACAGAACACACTGATTGTACGATGCAAGTTGCTACAGATTTCAAGTACATTTTACTGCTTTTACTAAACATTTGAAATTTTCTCCATCCCTCATTCTTCAGATTGTACAATATGCAAAAAAGCGACTGGGACATTACATTTTTTTTCACTTTAAAAAACTCTTTTGCAAAGGAAGGCAGGTACACCTACCAAGTACAGTTCTCACTGCTGTGCTTTAATGTTCATTTCTGTCTTCAACGTAAAAATTACATCAACTCATAAATGAAACAACATCCAGTAAAATCAGACTGAAGGGCCAAAATGAACTGCAGTTTTGGCTTTAGTCAATAGATGGTGCTCTTGATATGGGAATTTTCCATTCACTTTCCTTACTTTATAACCTGCCCCAAAAGATAAACAAAAGAGGTTCCACACTTCTTGTACGAAATGCAACGTCTGAATTTTCTACTTTGCACAGTCCCCTACATCTCTGCTCCAACTTTGACAACATCAAACACGTAGATGCAGTCTATTACATACATAGAGCAGAGAGAACGCAACACCCCAATAAATACATTAGCTGCAAAGATATCCACAAACCAGCTACAGTCAAGGTAAGTGTACAAAATTTCAGGACAAATTGGATAATAGATAGTACAAGCGACAATAGATATGTATAACACTGACCCTAGGCAAATACTAGTAGTTATAAACATAGGAAGCACTTTGTTACATGTGCCATAGCAGCTCCAATTATGCTCTATTACAGCTAGGAAATATCCTTCCAAAATAAAGATCAAAACCAAAATCCTTTCTTCTAATGTAATTAGGAATAACTACAGATACTAGTCTGCCAAAAATAAAGTTACATGTATATATCCTTTTTCCAAAAAAAAAGTAAATGAAATTCAAACAGTTTTTATTCCCACCATTCACATAAAAGTTTCCCTGTCCAAATCTATGATTATCTATTCATGACTGTTAACAATGACATATCTGATTTTGACTAAAAGACCATCTTTTGAGCAATCCTTCACGATCTATCTCACTTTCTGAGACACAGAACAAAAAGCATAAAAGTATCCTATACACTGCTAAACAACACATTCTCTACAAAGAAAGGGCTTGTCTATAATCTAGTACCTACAATGTATTATGCGAAGGTTTAAAAATCACAGATTCTGTCTAAGCCAAGTTGTTGAAAATCTAGATCCAGCTTGATTTTGTTTGTTCTCATCCTTGGTCAAATTATGAAGTCATGATTGAACTGCCTTGGAGTTGGTTGATATTCTAATAGTTTGTACATTTTGAGAAGACATAGATTGTACATGACTGTATAAACTGTCTACTATCTGAGGATACAGTGTACACTGAGGATACCTGTTCACTACCTTTGATAACCCCACGGAAATCACTTGACAGGAAAACTGTACATTAGAAAAAAATCAGTCCCTTCCCTCACTACTTCCCTATGCAGAAGTTGAGACACTCCTGTCTGGTCTTGAAGTTGTTTTTGTTTCCGCCGCAGCCTCCGAAGACGAACTGTTCGCAGTCCTGGGTGACCCTGTCGTAGTGCCAGGCCCAGAACAGGGCCTTACATGGGCCGGTCACAGCAGGCTGGAGGCACTCCGGGGGGACGTCTGCAAATAACAACAGTGTAGAACTTTAGTGACCAATGAAATGGCCAAGTGGGTAGTGAGTGCTTGCCTTGTATTCAGTAGGTTGTGAGTTTGATCCTAAACTGAGTCATACCAAATGGTACATACCATTACTGTGTTCTCTGCTTAGCACTTAGCATTTGGGAAAGAGTATGGGAGTAGTGAACGAGCCCCCTGCTGTAGTGACTGCACAACTGCGTGGCCCAAGGGCTACTGAGTGAGGAAAGTCGTGCAAAGTTCCTTTCCCAATGCAAGGACACAACGACTTGCCAGGAATTGAACCAGTAACCTCTTGGTGTTGTGTCTGCTAGCCTAACCACTACACCACTAAACATGCAGAAACATATTCACAGAATTGCTAGACTAGTGTAAATCCCTACCCTTGATTTGGTTTCCTTTTTCTGGCGTGACTTTTGGGTCCTCTGGGACTTCGGTGTCCAGTTCAGTACAGGTGTTTCCGGTGAAGCCGATGTCACAGAGGCACTGGTTGGGCTTCACACACGTGCCTCCGTTAGCACAGGGTGGGTCACACAGGGCTGGGGAACAACACAAACACAGTGTATTGGGAATAAGGGAACAATATGAGGACATCACATTTGTATTACTCTGTACAATGCTACATACATGTACGTACATACATACATACATGTACATAATCTAGGGCACAGTATTGGAAGGCAGAGCCCATCCCTCTTCTTCCCCAACTACAGTCAGGTACACATTTTACACCTGGATGGAGTGAGAAAATTGTGTGCCAAGGACACAACATCTTACAAGGAATCGAACTTGTGACCTCTCGATCCCATGTCCACTGGCCCAATCACCCACTCATTCAACCACTACAGGACGGTTATACCTTAACTAAAGAATAAGATACAGCTGGTACAAAGGGGTGACTTGACATAGCCTGGGTGCCAGACTGTTTCCGGGGTCTACACTGGCCAGTCCCTCAGCTCCAGGGCCAACATGACACTTAGGAAATTATACGACAGCTCCCCTCACTTAGACCCTGATCCAGACCTGATGGCTAACTCTGGACCTTTTGGCCAGGACCCCACTGCAAAGCAGTGTTTAAACACAGAGCGGGCAACATTTTGTACCCTGGCTAAAGGAAAAAAAAGACCTAGCATGCCATGGGTCTGGCAACCAGGTGAGTGTTGCCGTACCTATCTTGCAGTTCTCTCCCATGTAGCCATCGTGGCAGCAGCACATGTCGCTGGCAGTACAGTGTCCGTGGTGACAGTGTTTGGCACAGTGAGACACAGGAGGGGCTGGCTTCCACAGCTGCTGATTACACTCAGGTGGGTCCTCCTTCCTGTAGCAGACATACAAACACACACACATGGAATAGAATGCAAGTCCAGGAAAATACAATTTTATTCAAACTGAAATAGGTTTGAACTGTAATGTCCAACACAAAATTATGGGGTTACCAAAATTTTCAACTGTTCAACTCAAGGCTTTCATTGAGGAAATAGCAACAGGGACAAGGACACTGCAAACTTTCTGCTATTTATGATCTACTGCTCACTGAGTCAGCATAATAATCCAGATACATTGTATCTAAGTCCAGATTTTTTGTGTGTTGGAAAATAAATTCAAGCCTGTTTCAGAATGACTCCTACCAACACAGGTGAACTTTTTAAGCTACACTGTAATTTTTTTCAACTTATAAAAAATGCTTCCATTCCTGTGGGATTGCAAAAACAAAGCAGCAACACCGTTGTATCTGCCTGGTGGGTAGCATCTGTTATTGGCACATATGGATGGCACTTCTGCCAACACTACTGTAGTTCTTTCTCTCCCCAAGGTTTTGTCTGCCTATCCTAACAAGGACAACTTGCCATAAGAACTAAATTCAGCAGGGAAGTATGACAAATCGACAGAAACATGCAGGGACAGGAATGACTAATGGCGGGGATTCAGAGACTAACTTGTTGGATTCAGAAGCAATCAGTCTACCCCTCAGAAACATCTGGATACCCAACTATGGCAAGGGCGACGGAGGGCAAACC